GTAAAATTCATTTGCTGTAACAAAAAACCACTTTTCGGTTCTGATTTACAGTCCCCAACAATAGTTTTTTTGTTGATCTGTTTATGATGAATAAGCCAAATGCAGTGAATATTTTCTTCTCTGAGTGTGTGTGTATATGTACAAATGTATATGTCATTTTATATAACTTCAGTGATATTGAGAAACTGTTGTTAGAATAATACTTCTAACTTGTCAATTTACTTTCTATTCTCCATCACAAAGCTGTTTCAGCAGCTTCTTCAAAGGGACAGGGAGTCCCTGGGTGTTTTATCAATTTCGTCCCAACCTCTAGTAGTTGTAGGGGCCATTGCTGCCATATGCTTAATTCTGACCAAGGAGAAAGAAAAATGGAAGCCCTGAGCAAACTTAGGAGAAAGTGACTGCATTGTCTTTGAGTCTGTGATAGCCGAGAAGGGGTGTGACAGACATAATCATTTGTGTGCTCTAGATTTTAGGAAAGCAATTCCACACATTTCAGAGAAATGATTAATATAATTGCATGGCCTGAGACTCTGACAAGGATTTCTCTTAGATCTGAGAAGGGTGGTAGTACTCCACAAGGAAAATTCTGGCAGTAAAATAGCATATGATCTTGATGAGCACAAAAAGGAGAACGTAGGAGAGTGTTGTGACTGCACAGGCAACTTTCTATTGAACTCAGATTTTAATACGTCATTCATTATAAAATCTGGAAGCAGTAGCAAGTAGCCAAAGAGGATGAAATCAAAGAATGTCACAGACAAAAGAGCAGAGCAAGGAAGCCTGAAATAACCTGATTCTTACTGACATTGCTAAGGATTACAAAAGTGAAAGAAAGAATGTTTAAACTACTAAATTCTTAATAAACTTCCCTGGCCTCTGTCAAGGAAATTGAAAAGAGATGTAAAGGGACTTATTCAAAGTCACACAGATGAAAAAGCCAGGATTTGAACTCCAAGTTTTCCTACTCCAAGTTTAGCATTGTTTACACTGTACCTGCCTGATTTGAGGAATGCCATAGTTTTCAAATTTCTGAATTTCAGCATGACTTTTTAAGTTTCTAATAATATTCTTGTGGACAATATGTAGAAATTTGAACTGAATGAGAGTGTAATAGTTCCATGCATTTGGAACTGGTGTCCAAACAATACTCTTTAAGGGTTCAATACTAACCCCTTCAGTCCTGACCTCAAAGATCCCATCTTAGTTGTAAGGTACTGTGATTTCAAGAAAATATGAAAGTGTAGGGGAAAATTCCGTCATTGCCTCTTTCTTTCGTTGTCAGAAGACACAGTTGGCATGCTTATTAAATTTGTAGATGCTATAAAGCTGAGAGGAATCGTTCATGGATAAATGACAGGCTGAAATGATGAGACAAATTTAACAAAATTAAATTTAGCAGGTTTAAAATCTAAATTGTTCTACTTAGGTTTTAAAAAATCAATTATACAAGTATCGACCCCAGGCAAATAGGAAGTTGGGATAGGGAATGGTGAGGAGTTGGAGTTCAGGTAATATCCTTTAATGACATTTCATGTGATGAAAAGGTCTAGGAGTTTTGTTTGATAGCAAACCTTAATATAAATCATCAGTATAACAGAACTTCCAAATAAAGGTAACTTGAGCTTAGGCTCTATAATGTTTAGCATCCAGGATAAAGACATAATACTCCCACTGTCCTCTGTACTAAGCAAGCTACACCTGGAGTATTGTGATTAGCAAGCAGCCATTCAGAGGAAGGTGACCACAAAAGGATGTGGGTTTAATCTGGAGAAGAGAAGACTTAATGGGGGACAGAGTTATTGCCTTTAGATGTGTGAAGTATGTGGAGGAGTGATTAGATTTGTTATGGGTGGTTACAGAAGGCAAAACTAAGACCAGTAAGTAGAGGTTACAGGGCAAGACATTTGGATTCCATATAAAGAAGAACTTTCTAACAATTACAGTTAACCCAAAATGAAAAGAATTGTCTTGTGAAGTAATAAGTTCTCTATCACTGAAAATATTCAGACAGAGCGTTGGAAATGTTGCAGAGAGGATGTATGCAATGGGTAGGGTGTTGGGCTAAAGAACCTCTAGTATGCCACCCCGTATAGGCTCTCATCACTTCACAGCTGGACCACTGCAGGAACCTTTTGGGCGCTCATCTTCTCTCAATGTGTCCTTACTCCAACATGTTCTCTGCTCAACTGCCAAATTTATTTTCCTAAAACATAAATGTGACTTCCCTACTCGACACAGTCTAGTGGCTTCTTGTTGTCTTCAAGATCAAATATATAATCCTTACTTTAGCATTTAAAGCCCTTCACAACCTGGCCCCTTCCTACTTTTCCACTACTGAACCTTTCCACACACTCTGTCATCCAGCTACACTGGCCTGTTTGCTGTTCCTTACACGTAACACTCCGTTTTCTTACTCAGCGCATTTGTATTGTCTGTCTCTTATGCCAGAACGATCTCTTCCCTCACTTTCAACTCCTAGCCTCCCTTGCTTTCTTCAAGACTCAGGTTAAATCCCCTCCTCAGCACTTCTTTCCTATTTCTTCCTCCCATTCCTCTCCCATCCCTGTTGCCTTCACTTTGTATATATCTGGCATGTATGTAGTTATCATTATCTTTTCACTCCTAGTAGAACATGAGCTTGTTGAGGTCAGAGACAGTGCTTTTTACCTTTCTTTGTCCTAGTACTTGGCATGGTGCCTGGTGTCTACTGAGTGCCTAATAAATATTTGTTGAGTGACTGGCTGGCTAGTGATGGTATTTATGGTAGTGCTCACATTAAAGAAATTCTACTAGAACAAAGATATCAGGGATGCCTCATTAATTTTGTTATAATAGGATTTACTTTGTATTCTTATTAATGGACTCATTCCTTAGTCAATACTCATTTTCCTTTAAAAATTACTTTTATTTTGTTTTGTTTTTTTTTCCTTGTTACATAAGTAATAAGACTGAAGGGAACCTTAGAGATCTTTAGTTGGAACTCTTACATTTTATGGATGAGGAAACTGAGATCCAGAAAAAAATGTGACTGAAACAAAGACTCCTAATGTAGTGATCCTTTCAACACACTATTATCTTTTTAGATAAATTCCAGTCCATTAAGTTTAGTTTTTCTGGATCTTCCCCTGTTCTAAAAAGAGCATCATCAAAAATGTCCTCTTCTTACTATCTTCTTGCATTGTTTAAAACTTATTTAAATTTAGATAATATTCTTTCTGTGTAAGCACTATTGGGCTTTGAAACAGTGCTGTTAGAATTTTAAGATGATGAAAATTCAGTGTTTAGTGTGGCCTTAATAATGCCACCTGGTATTTAATGATAAGGAAAACCCTCTTTGCATCCCATCATCCATTTATTCGTTTTCACTCAGTAGTTGTATTTTAAACTAAAGATCCTTTTTTGAAAATCATTTGCTTTGATTCCTTTCCCAGATCTTTAAACTTTTCCTTTGACTTTCCTCTTCATTCTTATTGTTCTGTATCCCTATAGAAAATGTAATAAGTAAAAACTTCTCTAGCATTCTTTAAGAAACTCTCAATTGTAACTATGATGGTTCATTGAAAAGAAAATCAGCCTTTTCTTTTGGTCTGTTTCGCAGATTCTTACCCATAGAGTAACTAGTGGTAAATCTATTTCTGAGAGCCTTTTTGAAGTTTCATACTCATCTTCTCTCTGACTTCTTATCTATCTTTTTGTCGATTTTGTTCAGAGTTAAAATTACCGATTGTAATGTGTGTGTCTGGCAGGGGAGGGACTAGAAAAAAACATTGGTAAAGATTCTTTGCACGGAGTGAACATCTTTGTTGACATAGTAAAAAAAAGTTTCAGTTTTCTCCTGGTCAAGTTTTTTTGTTTGTTTGTTTTTGAAAGTCATAAATGAAGGTCTTAAGCATTTCCTGCTTGTCCTACTTGTTACAATTCAGTCGTTTTTCAGTCATATCCAACTCTTTGTGACCCTACTTGGGGTTTTCTTAGCAGAGACGCTAGAGTAGTTTGCCATTTCCTTCTCTAGTCCATTTTATAGATGAGGCACACAGGGGTAAGTGACTTGCCCAGGGTCACACAAGTAGTAAAGTGTCTGAAGCCAGATTTGACCTTGGGGAGCTGATCTTCCTGACTCTAGGCCTGGCACTCTATCCACTGTGCCACCTAGCTGTCCTGCTTGTTCTACTAGCCAGTTTTGTTTTTAAATAGCAGCCTTATCTATCTTAGCAACTTAGGGTCTGGATACTTCATGTAGCCTGGCTCCTTTTGTTATCTTACTTGCCATGTTTTTACTTGTTCAACCAACAAAAACTATTTACGCTTTACTGTACATAGAACTTTCCTGATTATTAGAAATGAAGGAAATACGTATCGTCTTAATGAGACTGATAAGTAACTTGCATGTTCCATTGAGTTGACTTGTGGAAATCTAGCATTCTTGAGTTCCTTTTTGTTGTCTTTCTTTAATTCCCTCTAGTCACATGCATTTCTCTAAGCTATTCTGTGTCTTCAGTGACTTTCTAAGATCTGTATTCTTTCTTAATTTCCAAAAGCCATATTAAGCTATAAACCAACATTTTAAATCTATGACCATTTATTTTTGTTTTGTACCACATTTCTCCTTCCTTTACTACTGCATGGTACATATTTATTCGTTGAACTAGGAGTATTAATTTTAATTTTAGTTTAGTCATTTGCTATAGCCCAAACCCCATAGACACAACTGTCTAAAGATTGAAGAATCACTATCTTAGAAAACTATTTGGGAGCCTCTCATTTCAGTTATTTTCAGAACTTACAGTATCTTTTTTTTATTCCTTCCCCTTTCTTGCCCCAATTTTGCTGAATTTCATCTTGACCTTAGTGTTTTGGGGTTTAGGGTTAGTTAATACTAATTGGGCTAGACATTTTAACCTATAGATTTTGGAAAGGATCGTATTGCTGTTGGATGAATGGAAAGAAAGAAGAGGATCAAAAGGAGAAAGAAAACTTGTGTTTTTTCTTTTTTTCAGCGTTCTCGTCCTCTGTCTGCTAGTGATGCTGAAATGAAAAACCTTGTGGGTTCAGCAAGGGAGAAGGTGCCAGGGAAATTAGGTGGTTCCGTGCTTGGCTTATCCATGGAGGAGGTAAAATAATTCTATTTCTGACTCTGATGATTGCAGATAAAGATAAGGTGGGAACAAGTGTATCACTCTTCTACAGCAGTTTGGTTGTTTTTGGCAAATAGAATTTTCACTGAAAAGGGGGAAGGAATCGTCCTGAGGGAAGATGGTGAAGGAGTTTGGAGAGACCATGCAGACAATCTTCATGACCTTTTTAAAGTAGCAAAAGAAAGAGCAAAAAGAGATAAAAGCTTTAGAAATATCAAGAAAAAGCTATCTGAAAGACAGCAAACCATAGAAAATCTCAGAAACAAAAGAAGAAATAATTTTCAGGAGAAACAAGGGAAAAAAATGACTGAAGAAATGCCTGCTGATGTAGCACCAGAAATAATGTAAGAATAAATCCCTGTAAGTGGATACTCTCAGGGAGTTCAAAGAAGACTTGAACCCAGAAAAAAAAATTGGAAGACTTAAAGGAATATATAAATGTATCTGAGAAGCCTTCAGTGGAATTAAAGGAAAATATGAACTCATGGAAAAAGTCTTAGGAGGAAATATGGGGGGGGGGAAATCTTACAAAATCGGAATGTAACATAGAAGATGTAAAGACATTACTAAAAGAACAAAATACCAAGTAAATGCATAGTAGCAAATAACAAAGAATAACAAAATTTAAATGAAAGATAAAGCTTAGAAAAAAATTAAAATCATTGAGTAATGCAGAAAAAAATCACTGTTCTGGAAAGCAGATTTAGGAAGTTAAACTTCATAGTTATGATAGTCTCTGAATACATCAAATAAGAAGTTACTCATTTTTACTTCAGGAAATTATAATAAAAACTTCCCAGAACTAGTGAGAACACACAGCACTGCACACAGAAAGAATCCCTAGATCTCACTTCACCCTGATGCCACCAGAGGACCCTAGAAGGTAGAAAGAAGTAAGAAATGTGATGGTATGAAAACAACAGTTCTTAGAAAGGTAAATTACAAATTAATCTCACTGAAATAGAAGATTGGATGAGGAGAGGAGGGTAGTGAGGACAAGATACGCAACTCTTATCTGAAAAAGGAAAGCATCAAACAAAACACAAAAGAGAATAATAGTAAACTTAAGGCATTTTGGATGAAACAGGTTAACAAGAGGGAGCAGGAGTTGGAGAAAGAAGAGCAGGTTCATATTTAGTATAAACAAAAGAAACAGAGACTACTGACTTAGAGTAGGATAAGTATGCTAGGCAACTCTAAAACTGTCAAATTGCAAATAAGATGTCAAATTGCATTGGTCAAGGAAGTTCCGTACACTCTTAGGGGTCTAGTTCCTATCCTGTCTCTATCCATATCCCTTCCTACTCACCCATGCATACTTAAAGCCTAAAACTGCACTAAGACTTTTGAGACATCAAATGTGCTTGTTTAGATGCTTATATACATATTACACGCAAGTGTGTGTATATGTATACATACATATACACATCCAATTCTGAGCACATTGTTGGAACATAGTAGGCTCTTGATAAATGTTGATTGATTGATGTACATAATTAATGGAAGAAAATACAAGCAACAGTTGTAACCTTAAATGTGAATGTACTATATTTCCTAATAAAAATGAGAAAGAAATGGATAAAAACAAACCCCAATAATTTGCTGCACATAAAAAAAAACACATTTTAAAACCTTTAGACACATACAGAGTAAAAATAAGGGGGATAGAATAAGATTAGAAGTTAAAGAAAAGCAAAAAGACTTAAGAGATAAGTATACTGCAAAAATAATTTTAAAAGTAATTTTTAAAAAAGGCAACAAAAAGCATATGGATAAAAGAAAAGGAGTTAGTGATTCCAAAGGATAGCAATGGATATAAATTTTTAGGGAAAAAAGAGATGAACATGCGTAAAATACAGGAAGTGATAGTAGGTTTTGTTATAGAAATATTTTCATACTTGGTACACTATGATTTTGTTGGTGGTGTTACTTCTTGGAGCATTCTTTTTTTTTTTTCCCAGTTAGGCAGTTGGGGTTAAGTGACTTGCCTAGGGTCATACAACTAGTAAGTGTCAAGTGTCTGAGGTCAGATTTGAACTCCGGTCCTCCTGACGCTAAAGCTGGAGCTCTATCCACTGTGCCACCTAGCTGCCCCAGTGTTGTTACTTCTTTACGGGTGCAGAATGCATTAGTAAGATTCAGTAGGTGAAATTTCATAGTTGTTACGCTCCAGATAATCATCACCATGGGATCAAATTGGTATTGAGACTTTCCAAACTTGGCTAGGCTGGACGAAAGGCAGATATGGAGTCTGTGCCTGGTTCCATGCTCAAAGCCTTTCCAGCTGCTGGTATAGCCTTTGAGAACCCAGGATCAAGGTTATACCATGATTGAGTAGAATTTATGGAGTTATAGAAATTGTTATAGTAAGATAATAATCTTTCCATTCCCTAACAACCACATGAATAACAAATATAGCCCCCTCCCAAAAGGTAAACTAAATGTCAGATTTAACAAAGGTAGCATTAAATGCAAATCAACTGAATTCTCCTTGAAAAAGAAAAAGGGTTATGAATGGATTGAAAAAAGAAAAACCCAACAATTCAGAATCCAACAATATATTGCCTACAGAGACACAATTGATGCAAAAAGATTTAGGTAGGTTGTAATAGAAAGACTAGTCTAAAGTGTATAAAAGAGTAGCCAACCTGAGGAAAAAATTGGGCTGCAATGCTCATATTATTTAGTACAGTTTAAATGAAAAGTATCCATCAACTAACATTTATTAGTGCCTAATATATACCAGGCACTATGCCAGGTATTGGTAAAGAAAAAAAATGAAAGTCTCTTCTTTCAAGGTGAGAAGAGAACAAACATTTATGAAGTGCTTACTATGTGCTAGGCACTGTATGAAACTCTTTACAAATATTATCTCATTTAATTGCTGTTATGATTCTCATTTTACAGTTGAGAAAATTGAGGCAGAAAGGTTAAGTGACATACCCAGGGGTACATAGCGTGTGCCTGAGGCTGGATTTGAACTCAGATTTTCCTGACTCCAGGCCTAGTGCACTATCCATTGAACCACCTAGTTGCCCTAACTTAATCGCTAAAGGGGCTTAAATCCTATTATAGGAGATATATATAGATATAGATAGATAGATAAATTTGAACAGATATATGTAAAATAAATTTGTACACACACACAAATAGTAGTAAAATTGTGGCAGTGAGGGAAGGCACTAGCTGTATTATAAAAAGCATTGCGCAGAAGGTACTGCTTAAGCTACATCTTGAGGAACATATCCCAGGCATGGGAAGCAATGAGTACAAAGGTCAGAGGCCTTAGATGGAATGTTTTGTAGAGGGAATAAGTAGTGTAGGCTAGCTAGACTACAATGTGTGGAAACAGAAGAGGTGTTAGGTATAGATTTACATGCATGTGTATGTATATATACATGAATATACATACATGTATTTTTATGTGTAAGCACAATTATATTTTGTATTTTGTCCTAGAGGCATTGGGGATTCACTGGAATTTTTTTCAGTAGGAGAATGACATGGAAAGTTATATATTTACGGAAAATCATTTTAGCAGTTAAGTAAAAGATGGATTGAACTTGAGGAAAGACTTGAGGCAGGGAGACCATTTAGGAAGCAAGTTAAGTCATCCAGACACTATGAGGGTCTGAACTTATAAAGTGGTGGCTGTGTCAGTACAGAGAAAGATTCAAATGTGACAGATGTTGTAGAGTTAGAAATAACAAGATTTACCAACTGATCAAATATGCAGATTGAGGGAGAGTGAGGAGTTGAAGATAAGGCCAAGGTTATAAACCTGAGAAATGATGAAAATGGAGGTAGCCTTGACAGAAATAGGGAAATTTGGTAAAGAGGATGGTTTTAGGTGAAAGATAATGAGGTCTATTTTGAACATATTGAGTTTAAGCTGTTAATGGGATGTCCAATTGGAAAGGTGTAATAGAAAGTTGGTGATGTATGACTGGAACTCAATTTGGACATTTAGATCTGAGTCATTTAAACCACGGAAGGTGATGAAGTCATTAAGAAAGAGAATGTAGGAGAAGAGGGTCCAAAAGAGAGTAACTGTGGGGTATACATGTGAGGGGACATGATACAGATCATGAATAAACAAAGGCTCCTAAGAAGGAGTGGTGAAACAAGTAGGGTAAGAACCAATAGAGAGCCAAAATGCAGAGAATGAAAGCGTCTTGGAGGAAAAAGTTGTTGACAGGATCAGATGCAGCAGAGAAGTCAAGGATGATAATTGAGGAAAAACCATTAGATTCAGCAAGTGAGAGATCATTGGCATCTTTGAAGAGAACTTTTCAGTTGAGTGATGGAGTTGGAAGCCAAATTACAAAAGGTTGAGGAAGAAGTAGAACAAGAAGGATAGTCAGCTTTTTCTTGGAATTGGGCCGAGAAAATGAGGAGATATATAGAACTATAGATCAATAAGATGGTCTACTGAAAGTATTTTTAAAGCATTGGGGAAACTTGGGCATGTTTGAAATCAGTAGGGGAAAAACAACAGTTTATAGAGAGAGATGGAAGATTAGAGAGAGAATTGTGGGAGCAGTCTGCTGGAGAAAAAGAGAGAAAATAGAAGCTCGTGGAGGGTTTGGACTTGGTAAGGAGAAGGGCCTTTATCATTGTCAGAGACTGGGGAAAAGGACAAGAGATTGGGCAATGATGACAAGGGGTTTAGGGATGAAAAGAAGAGGAGAATAGTGAGCTCATCATGAATGTTGTCCTAATTCTTTGCTGACAGGCTGAGGTAGGAGGAAGTATGAGAAGACTGAGAAAAGAAGAGAAAGTTTGCAACAGAAACAAGGCTATTACAGTCAAAGGAATACTCAGTACTAAAAATATAGCAATTCCATATGTACAAAATAAAATAGAATTTACTTCTCCCCTATAAAAAAAACTTATAGATTTACAAGAATTGGGTTTAGAAGATTTAGAAGAATTAATAAGAACCCTGAATACTCTACAATAAAATATAATAGATTGAACAAAAAAATAAAGAAGTTATGGGTTTGAACCAGTTGGTGATTAAATTTGATTTAGCAAATATGGAGAGTTTATTGGAAAAAAGCAAAGAAATATGATGTTTTCAGAAATATTTGTAAAAATTGATTGTGTATTCAGACACAAAGAAATCCTGCTTTCATTTTAAAAGATATATTTACAAGTGAATTTTTCCAATTTTTCAAAGAACAAAGCATATTTATATTATATATACTATTTCTAAATAAAGATAATGATATTTAATCAAGTAAATATAGTCTTGACTCAAAAACTGTTAAAGACAGAGCTGGAAAAAAATTTTGACCAATCACACGAATACAAACAAAACAAATATATTTTGCATATAAATACAAATAAAATGAAATAGTAACAAATAGAGTAAATCAGAATATATTTTAAAACTATTCATCTCAACTTTATATTATATTAGTAATTATCTAGTAATTATAGTACAGTAATTTAAAGCTACTTCAGTATTAGACAATTGTTACAAATAATACAGTCATATGACTATATTAATAAAGATAGAGGAAAAGCTTCTAAGAAAATGTGGCCATTCATAATACAAACATTTTTAAAATATACATAAGAAGGATTTTTCCTTAACATGATGAAAGGCATCTACTTGAAACCAGGAACTGACATTCTGTGCAATGAAGAGGTACTTGCTTCTGGAAAATCGGTGTGAAACAGTACTGTTTATATGTCTACCATTTCTAATAGAGTTGTAGAAATGCTTCCTATAGGAATGAAGCATAAAAAAGAAAACTAAATATTGCTAATCAGGTGGTTAAAATATCTTATAAAATATCTTATTTGCAAGCGACAATTTTGTTTACCTAGAAAATCCAAGGGATTTAACAAGAAAATGTTAACTGATGGTAAATGAGTTTAACAAGTTAGTAAGAAATAAATAAGATACAGTACACAAAAGCAATTCATATTCTAATATATCATTAATAAAGAACTGATAAAAATTAAATTTACAATAATGACAATAAAATAAGATATATGAATATTTAACTACCAAGGCACATAGGAAACCTTTATAAGGATAATCTCCAAACTATTTTGATAGATATAAAGCAAGAAGTGAGCAATTTGGATGCTATCCATTGCTAGGATGACCTAGTATAGATGACCTAGAATGAAAATATTTCCCAAGAATCCTAAACTTTGGAAAAAGGAATTCAATAAAAATTATTGGGAAAATTGGAAAGTAGTGTGGTGAAAACCAAGCGTAGATCTATACCTCATATCATATATTGCTACAAATTCTGATATGATCAATGAGGTTATCAAGAACAAGTTTTAAAAGTGAGAAGAATGAGTTTCAAAAGCAGAAGTACTTAATCTCAGCTATGATGAGAAGACAGGTTATTGGACAAATGAAAGAAATTGGGTTGGAAGTGGATGGATTTAATTATGTAAGAACTTTTAACAGGACAACAAAATAATAAGGAAAGAGCCACATGGAGAAATTTTTGTGATATAAAGTCTGACATATAGAACTTACAAGGACCTGAGACAGTTTTTAAAAAGGAAACACTTAGTCCTTCACGCATAAATGGTTACAGGAATTGACAGTTTGTGAAAGAGGAAGCACAATTATGAGTAATTGTTGAATTTCAGTTTGGAAAAAGTTCAGCCTTTCCAATGATAGAAGTGCAATTTAAAACAACTTTAAAGTATAATGTTATACTCATCAAATTGGCAAAAGTAATTAAAAGTGATAAAATGTGCTATTGTAGGGGGTGTGGAGAAACAAGTTCTCCATTACTTTGGTGGTGGAATCATGAATTTGTGTCATCTTTTTGGAGAGCCATTTGACAGTACAAAATGAGTGGTATAAAATTTATCATGGCCTTTAATTCAGTGATTCCATTACTCAAAATATATTCTTTCAATGTGATTGAAAAAACTTTTATAAAAAGCATTCATTATCTTCATTATTGTTAATATAAAAAAACTAGAAATAGCCATATTTCCAGTAACTGGGAAACTGCTGAATACATTTTGGTATATCAATGCCATGGAATACTGTTATTTTCTTTCAAATGGTGGATAGAAGGAATATATATAAATTTGAAAAGAATAAATAATGCAGAGTAAAGACAGCCGAACCAGAACAGCAGCCACATGTTCATTAACTATGACTATACAAAAAACTTCATATTTATACAGATGTAAATGGACAAACAAGATGAGAAGGGGACATAGAGCAGAAAGGTTGTTATTAATTTAAATATATTTTATTCTAAATAGTTTGTTTTGCTTGGTGTTGGTATTGTTATTGTTAATATTGGGGGTTTTGAGTATGGTGGATAGAACATTAGGCCTGGAATCAAGACCATCTGAGTTCAGATTCCAGCCTCAGACACTCACTAGCAGTGTGAGTGACCCTGGGCAATTTATTTTAACTTCTTGTCTGCCTCAGTTTTCTCAACTGCAAAATGGGAATTATTATGGCACCTATCTTGTGGTTATTTTAAGGATCAAATGAGATAATATTTGTAAAGCAGTACCTGGCACATAGTAGGCACTTAATAAATACTTGTTTCCTTCTCTATAATTTTGAAAAAGAAAATGAAGAGGGAGAAAATTTTTCTTGAAAAGCAAATCTTTAAATAAGATTCATCCTTTTATCCTGTATTTGTGGGCTCAAATTTCAGCTGTTGCTACTAATTGTATATATTCTAATGCTTATTATCTAATGTTTGATGTGACTCTTTTTTTTTTCCTTAATGTAGATCAAAGTTTTACGGCGGGTAAAGGAAGAAAACGATCGTAGAGGGGGATTTATTCGAATATTTCCTACATCAGAAACGTGGGATGTTTATGGGTGAGGTAACAACCTTTGGGTTGGGAAATAAGCACAGTGGATTGACTTAATTCCTGGTTAGAATCCCGAGTACCTCTGCTACTGTCTGATGGACAGAACACTGGACTGGGTGTCAAGAGACCTGGGTTTAAATCCCTCCTCAAACATTTGTTAGCTTGTATCATTCCAGGGAAGTCACTTAATATGATAGAGCTTGCGTTGAAGAGGAAAACTATACAACAGGGGGAGAGGGGGTCCCACAAAGTTAAATGTTGTAGAATGGATGAAGATTTAGAAGATCTGGAAATTAAAAAGTCATTGGTGGTCTTAAAGTGAGCAGTTTTAGTAGAATGGTGGGACTGGAAGACAGATTTTTAGGGACTAGAGAGTGAATTAACAGTGTGGAAATAGAGTTGATGAGTATAGACTCCTCTCTTAAGGAGTTTAGCAGTCAAAGGGAGGAGAAAATAGGAATAGCAGCTTTAGGGTATAGTAGAGTCAAAAAAAGGGCTGGAGTTTTTTGAAAATTGAGGAATATTTGCTTAGGGGCATATTTGTTCAGGAAAGAAGGAAACAGTTGTTAGAGGGAGATAAAAAAGTGAGAGAAATGGTGAATGATAGATCAGGGTTTAGGAGCAAACTAGAAGGGATAGGATTATTGGTACAAGTGGAGAAATAAGCCTTGACAAGGAATCTGCCTTCTCCTTTAAGATTAGAATAAAGCCCACAATGGATAAGCTTTGAGATAGTAGTAAGAAAAATTAAGGAGTGACTTTAGTCTTCTCAGTAAAATCGGAGTTGAGGTCATCTAAGTAGGGAAAAGGAAGATCAGAACTGGGGACTTGAGGAAGCCAGAAAAAGTTTAGAACAGCCCTTGTGGGGAGTGTGATAGGGAGTCTGTTAAGAGATGGAAAAAACAAACAAAAAAAAAAAACCCTGAAAAACAGTGGTTGGAGCCTGTCTGAAATTAGGTAATGCAAATGTAGTGGGTCTGCATAGTCAGCATAATTTTGTAACTTCTTCCTCCAAAGTTCAATGAATCTAGAGTGGAAGCATTCAGAAAAGGTGGATATGGTAGTGATTCAAGGTCAGGAATTAGCAGGGTTTTGAATAACAGAAGGACAAGGGAATAAAGCATTCAAAGATGGAGAATAGTGCCTTAACCTTAAGATCAGGATTGTGAAGTGGGGAAAGTGAGTCCTGAACATTTGATGGACTGGGAGAACGGGGATGGATCGAGGAATTAGATGTTGCAGTTAATACAGTTCAATAACCCATTACTGAGTTAGGAAAAAAACAAACAAACAAGCTTAGAAGGAGTGAGGCATCATGAGAGAAGCAGAAGGAAATGAAATTTCCTTTTCTGATCATACGTAGCATGAGAGTTGAGGATGGTGAACTGGTAGGCCGGGGTGTTCAGAGGGTTGAATGTTGATGTCATCAAGAAAGCCGTGAAGTAGAAAATGGATATTGGGAGTCAGATACTGCACTCTCTGGGGAAAGGGGTCAGTAGGTGGCAGCAAGGTTCAGGACAGCCTGATAAAATCAAATGCAATGGACTTCAAAGGAGAGACTGATGTATAATGGTAACATTGAGGGGAATCTGGAAGTCATATTGAGGAATAAGTAGTATGCTGACTCTTCCTAGGTCTCAAATGGACACAAAGAGAAGGAACTACCAGAATTAGAGAGTGTGGCAAAGATTATAAAGTCTCTAGGAGAAATTTAAGTTTTTCTGATTACTAGAATATGGAAATAATGTGAAAGTAAATATTGCAGATGAAGGTCAGTTCATTAGCAAACATGGGGACATGGAGTAGCAAGTGAGTATACAAACACTGCAAGGAGCAGGCCTTAGGTAGATGGGGATGATATGGGAAGAAGTGCTTTCCCTTGCAACAAAACTGGTCTGCTGGCTGTTTCTCCTCTATACTCTTGTGCTTCTTGTTTCCTATGCCTTACTGCAGATGGTACTCCCGAAACCCTGTTTCTTCAAAACACAGCTCAGGTGCCATCTCCTACCGGAGACCTTTACCCATTCATCCTAAGTTGTTGTATTCTCTCCTTCTTAAAATTACTTTGTATTGTTTTGTATTTACTCCCCTTTGAACTTGTTGCATCCCACCCACCAGTGTAATTTCCCACCCCGAGGGCAGAGATTTTCATTTTGTTTTTGCATCTCCAGTGCCTAGCACAGTGCCCTGCTTAATAAGCTTGTTCAATTGGGTTGAATTTGTTGAGGTAGCAGGGAAAAGGATTTGTACCTAACTAAGCATATGAGAGTTCTTAATTAGAGATTAGAGGAGCAGGAAATAGTGGTTTGTTAGTTGTGGGTTAGGTACGTTATTACCAAGCAGAGAAAAACTTGTAGACCTAATTAGCTCTCATGGTCCCACAATGTTGTCTCCCAGTTAGATAGCTCAGTTTTTTCCAAGAGGGGATGAGAGGGATGAGGCTTATGGTGACTGGCATAGAGGTCCTCAAGTGAAGGAAAACTAGCCATCATCTCCCAGGGCAACCCGTCATCTGATTATAAGCAAGGGAGGATGGAGACTTACAGAGGATGTTTGTCAGAAGGCTGTAAGAAAAAGTATATGGCCCCGGGAGTCAAGAGACTTGAGTTCAATGCCTAGCTCTCTCATTTATTAATCTCATGACTTATAGCAAATTATATGCTAGTAAGAATTATTCACATCGCACCTTAAGGGTTACCCAAAGCTTTAGACAATGCGATACTTGCCTGCAGCCTACCTGTTCACATTTAGGTCCTATTATTCTCCTTCATGCTCTTTATGCTCCAGCCAAACTGAACCACTCATTCCTTAATTTTGTTGTACCCATAATCCCTCATGCAAGGAGTGAACTCCCCAACATATGTACATCTCCACCTGTTGAAATCCTTCTCTCTTCCAAGATCCAGCTGTCTTATGAACTTAATTATATCTCTTAGCTCTCTTATGAACTTAATTATATTCTGACTTGTATTCTACTAATTTGTATATATAACTTGTCTTCTTACTATACTGTAAGTTTCTTTAAAAAAGGGACTGTGTTTTCATCTCTTGTGCTTGCTTCAGTGCTTAGCACAGTGCCTGGTACACATAGTAAGGCTCTTAATAAATATGTATTCTCCCTTTCCCTCTCCCCATCTCTCTTCCCCCGCCCCCTTTTCTTTCCTTCTGTGCTCCTTATCCATAATCTTTGTATAACGGTTGCCCTGCACTTAATACATGCTTTGCCAACATTTGCATAACTAAAATTGTTTTCTTCTTCGAACTCCTAATGAGCAGTTTTCAGTTAATGAGGCATTACATTGAATGCTGAAATCTCAGAACTATAGTGGTAGACTAATCGCATTATTAGTAACATATCTTTGAGTGTAGAGTTGCCAAATTGTAAGAAATCTTACTTATTTTTAAAATCTGGGCTTCCATGGTCCTTATAAATGATACTCCGTATCATAGCCCTAGACCCCAGAAAGTATGAGCCTAACAAAAAGACCCTTTTAGATTCAGTACAAGGGGAAAGTTTCCTATTCCTCTGAAAATTTAAGTGTTTATAATTATGAAATATATTTTTCTTTCCATTTTCCCACTATCCATTTTCCTACAGTGTCTTGAATCTTCCTACTCCACTCTGCTAGCAATTGTATTTGTGTAATTGTCACTTCTTTTTAGTTTTAAGAAAGATATTCTGTGAATTACCTGACAACTATAGGTTTGATTCACTTTTATTTCTGCATCAGGTTTCTCTAAACTGAAGATTTAACTAGTCCTTTCTCTTGTCTTTCAGGTCCTACCTAGAGCACAAGACCTCAATGAACTATATGCTGGCCACACGGCTCTTCCAGGACAGGTGGGGATTTGCTGATTTTATAGCCTAAAATGCTGGAAAGGATCACATTGTGAGGAAGAAGTAAATGAAAGACAAAGAAAATGGCTACATAGAAATTATGATGCTAGTTCCTTGATGGAAAGGGGCTATTTATATAAAGGTGTGCTTTTATTTAAGCAAATCTGATACAGCAACACTTTACTTGAGGTCATTCATTTGAAAATCTCGGCTCTCTGGGACATGACCAAGAACCAGAATGAAGCCAAAAAAGAAAAAAAAGATGTCTAATGACGCAAAGTGAATGTCACAAATCCATGAACTAAGAGCTCCGTGGATAGTTCTGAGAACAAAGCCCCTAGTTCCTCACTCAAAGTCTATTCTTTTAGACAGAGCCTTTAAACAAACTTAATTTTCTAATTTTCTAGCTTTTAATAGATTAAAAAACAGCAGATTAGAAGAGAGGCAAAATATACATATATGAAACTGAAAAAGTGATAGCTCATTGCATGATAGGAATTTGTAGGTAGAATAACTATAAAAAGCAGACATAAGAATCACATAACCTCAGATTTGGAAGGGACCTCAGAGGCCATCTAAATTAACTTCTGAACAGAAATGCCTTCTGTAGTAGTAGTAGTAATAGTTGCCTTCTAACCACTCTTTGAAGATTTCCAGTAAGGGGGCCCCGAACCCATACCTCTCTTGAAGTGAATCATACCCTTTTGGGGGGCAGCTAGGTGGCGCAATGGATAGAGCACCCAGCCCTGGAGTAAGGAGGACCTGAGTTCAAATACAGCCTCAGATGCATAACACTAGCTGTGTGATGGGGCAAGTCACTTAATCCCAATTGCCTCACAAAAAAAGAAAAGAAAAGAAATCTTACCCTTTTGGGATAGCTCTAATCATTGCAAAATTTTTTCCTTATATGAAATCAGATTTTTCTCTCTTAAATTTCTATCCATTGTTCCTATTTCTACCACCTGAGCAGAACACATTTCATCCCCTTTTTATATGACAGACCTTCAACTACTTGAAGAAAGCTATCATGTTCCCCCTAAATTATCTTCTCCAGGTAGCTAAATAATCTCAGTTGTAAATATTGAGATACAATATATCAACTGATCCTTTCATAGCATGATCTGCATCCCTTCTCCTATCCAGCCTTACCATCCTGGTCTCTCTCCTGTTGATATGTTCCAGCTTGCCACCATCTTTTCTCAATTGTGGTACCCAGAACCTAGTATAGTTCTCTGGATTTGGGACAAGGGCAGAGTGCAGATGTATGACCAGTACAAAGTACACTTAGACTTTAACCCTATCCCAAAATTGTGGGCATTCTTTTTCTCTAAGTGCAGCCTGAGATCTCATTACCTTTTTTGGTTGATGTCACAGTACTAACTCCTTGAGCTTCCTGTCTGCTAACTGCCCTTGCCCCCAAGTCTTTTTCCCACATTTATTGAGATTTCCCTTGTCTTGTGCTTAAGAAGTTGTTTTTTGAACCCATGTGTAGGATTTCATATTTATCTCTGCTAAATTCCATTCTGGAATTCAATTCTTTTAGGGATCTAAGGATATTAAGGCTATTTAGTGTAGCCCCAAACACCATTACATACTTCACGAGCTCCTCAGGACATCACCATAGTACAGCAGAGTACAATAATGGTTTTTGGTAGAGATATTTGTGAATCACCAAAAAAAAAAAAAAAACTCAATTATGTTCTAGATAATAATAACTATAGCATTTATATAGTTCTTTAAAATTAACAAAGCGCTTTACAAATATTGTCTCATTTTAAATTCAACAACCTTGGGAGGCAGGTGCTTTTCTTATCCCTGTCCTGCGTATGGAGAAACTGAAGCAGACAGAAGTTAAGTGACTTGTCCAGGATCACGTAGATAGTAAGTGTGTGAGGAAGTATTTGAACTCAGGTCTTTGTGCTTCTATGCCCAGCACTCTTATTTACTGTATCACCTAGTTGCCTAAGATGGCAAGAGTGTGTAGTAAAGTTTAGATAATTTTCCATCGAAAATTTTCATAATGAAGAATTTTATCTAAGTGGAGAAATTGACTTAATATGGAATGCCTCCTTCCTAAGTGATAGACAGTTAATACCAGATAAATGAAATATTTGTGAATTATCAAAACAGTTTGTAAAACTGACAAATTAAAAGGGTGAGTCTTTGTTTCATAAAAAAAGATTTATTCCAAGATTCACCTAAATTGTGAGGGCCCTAATGCATTTTGAATAAACTTAGATTTATGGTAATTTTATTTGTAATCAGTTAGATGTATGGTAATTTTATTTGTAATCAGTTTTTCAAGGATTAACTGGTTTCATAAAATTAGGATTACAAGTGCCTTGACAACTTATATGGAGCTGATGCTAGTATAATGGGTCTTTTTGGATTCTTTGGACCTAGGATTAGGGATGTGTTTTGTATTTAGCTTGCTATTCCTGGGCTTTTTGCCATATAGCTTGACAGAGGATCTGGGCTGTGCTGCTCTGTACTACCCAGAGAAATCTTTTCCTACTTTCAGCCTGGAAGTATAGCTTGTATTATAAACAATGGATGGAAATTTTTTAGGAACAGTAAGAGGAGAAAACCATCTAGTAGATGCAAGGGAAAGTACTTGCAGAGAAAAACAGTTATTTAGGAGAATTGTCTAATGAACACTTTTATGTTTTTAGAGATGTAGAAAGCTAATTATCTTAAAAAGGATTAGTAGCAGTTCAGTGTCGTCATAGCCTTCAGATCTACCTTTGGTTATGAAGTAAAGAAGTTCTTTTCCTTTGTGAACCCTCAAAGACTGGTGGTCATTTGACTTCACCAGTTAACTAGAATATCCTCCTAGCTCCATTTGTTCTTCCTCCTTTCCCTTCTTTGTAAGCATCTTTAGAAATGTCCCTTTGAGCTAATAATCCTCCAGATCCATTGTCTGTAAAAAGATTCTCACCTTTATGTATTTTCTCCCTAGAGAGAGCTTCTCTCTTTGACCTAGATTCTATGCTGAGGAGCTACAATAAATGAAATAGGCTTCAGGAAAAGTGGCACCTTGTTTAAAAAAAAAAAAAGCACCAAGAAGCTGTGTGTGTATATATGTGTGTGAGAGAGAGAAAGGATGCCTATGTGTGCATATTGTTGTCCATTAATCAGTTGTCCTCTCTACTCCTGTAGGGGAAACACAAGAAGAAGCCTGTTGGTAGGGAGGCCACGGTAAGTAGTTTTGAAAAGTTGAGATTGCATGGGCGATTGTGTGACTATGCAGAGATTGAGCATGGAATGCAAAAGTTTTGTTACCTTAGAGAACATTTTACAGTCTGGTTCAGTTTGATAGTGTTACCTAATTGTGGCCTATTTTGGTACCCCTTCTATAAAAACAGTTGAATTTTTCTGTATTAGAGCTACAGGTAAACCTTTATAGCAGCTGCTACTAACTGTTCTTGCTTGGCTATTTCAGAAAGAGATTTAGAGTGGAAACTAAACTTGCTGTTCACTCAAAATTTATTTTTATAGGGGATTTCAGTGGTTTGTTAATCTAGCCTTTGTGCATCTGGACATATGCTACTTCAGGTTTGTCCAAGAGAATTAGAAGTGTGCAGAACTGAAAATGTTCAGAAAACCTGTGCTTCAGGGCCTGTATATGGTTGGTAGGGGATTTTGAAGGTTTGGGAAGAGTTGGGGAAAGCTTTATCTACATCAGGAGTTTTTAACCTAGTATCTGTGAACTTTCTAAGTTTATTTAAAAATCTTGGTAACTGTATTTTAATGTGATGAGTTTCCTTTGTAATCCTATGTATATCCTTTTAAAATATGTTTATTTAGAAACATGATTCTGATTAGAAGCTCTGATCTAGATGAATAGTCTAGCCAGAAAAATAAAGCATTGAGACCAAAGACAATTCCCATGGCTACAATGGAGGCATTTGACCATTAGAAAAGTAGTTCTGTACATATGTAACTCTTTTGCTTTACACTTTTTTGGGGGAGGTGGTGAAGAGGTGTAGGGGTTTTGGGGTGCTCCTAGATGCACAGAGGTACCCCAAGATCATGGGAGGTTTTGGGGTGCTGGGAAAAGCCCCAGATCGTGGCACCGGATCTGCCTGAATGAATTCAACCCAAATCTTCCAGCCAGAGAAATAGTTTATTAAAGATAATCACATATAGGCCAGGTGATGCCCGTGAGGATGAGCAGGCATGAGAGTCTCAGCCTCTGGGTGTGACAGGTTCTCAGCATCTGAATGGGGGCTAAGGTGGTCCGGTAACGCCCGTAAGGATGAGCGGGCATGAGGGTCTCAGCCTCTAGGCGTGAGAACAGCTCAGCCTCTGAATGGGGGAGGCCAGGTGACGCCCCTACGGACAAGCGGGTATGAGAGTCCCAGACTTTGGGCATGAGAAATTCCCAGCATCTGAATGGGGGCAAAGGTGAATCTTAAGTGCAGAAAGACTGTGGGAGGGATCTAGGAGTGGCCAAGTAGTTTGGAGTGACTGGAGGAGGGGTCTAAGGAGATCTGGATGAGAGTGGCTAGTAAGCTGGGGTGAACAGAACTCCTGGGTCCTGGACCTCATGGCGCCTAGCTAGGATTAGGGGTGGGAAATGGCCAGGGGTCATAGGAAGGCAAAACAGTGGAAGGGAGATTGGGTGTAGCCACAATGCAAAGGCAGTTGAAGGGGGAAGGTGGTTGGAAAAAAAGGGTCCAGGTGGGAATTCCGTTTGGAAGGTCTGAGAGATTTGAATTAACAATGAGAATAGATAATGAAGGGAGGGGGGCAGCGAGGTGGTGCAGTGGATAGAGCACTGGCCCTGAAGTCAGGAGGACCTGAGTTCAAATCTGGCCTCAGACCAAACACTTGACACTTACTAGCTGTGTGACCCTGGGCAAGTCACTTACCCCCAATTGCCTAAAAAAAAAAAAAAAGAAAGAAAGAAAGAAAGAAAAGAAAAAGATAATGAAGGCAACTGGAAGGTAGAAGTTTGCTTTCAAAGGGAGATAAAGAGAGCTTTCAAAGGGAAATAATGGCAGTTTCTAAGGACAAACAGGAGCCAGGTTCTTTTTAGGGCCAGGGAGGAAGGCGCAACTGAATAAGATCAAAAAGGCCAGGCTGAGGCTTTGGAAGGGAGGTAAGGGGAATATAAAAATCTAAGGGTTTTCAAACTGAATGGTGGGCACATAACCCCATCAGAGGGAGGATATATTTAACCACCTTTAGTAGGTCAAACTTTTCTTTGAGCTCTGAGAATTAACTGCCCAAAAGTTTTCATTTAAAATTTGCAATTATCGCTATAATAGACTTGAGAAATTGGCCAGAAGGAATCTTTTTTTGAACATTGTAATGGAGATATTCTGGATTATGCCGGCAAAATATGCAGAAAATTCTGACTGTGATTTCAGTGATAGGGAATTGGCCATCTTATCTTAAGAACAGCCACAGTACATCAGTCAAATATACAGGTACACCAAATTTATTTCTCCCTATTGGATTAGAGGTTATGAAACTATAAACCTGTACTTCAGTTGCTCTAGGGAACTCCCTATGAGGAAACCCCTTCTACCAATGCAGATTGGTAGAATGCAATTCTTCCTTTGCAATTTACATACCTAAGAGTTGCCTGGATCACTGATTGAGTAAGTGACCTGCCCAGGATCATACAGTCAATATTTGTCAGACTCGTATCCAGGGCTCCCAAACTCCAAGGCCAGTTCTCTATACTCTGTGCCTTTCTGCCTCTCTTTATACTTTTGAGAAGAGATAAATTCATTTATTATAATGATAATGATATTTATGTTTCACTTTGTGGCATACAAAGCACTTTAAATACATTTAGTTTTATGAGAGATTTGCTATTCCAAATCCTTTACAAATATACATGTTTAGATCTTTCCTGGGAAGAAGTGAAACAGGTTTATTGTCACTTGTTTAATGAAGAAGCAGGAATAAAATGATTGTGACTTGTCTCAGTATTGAAGTCCAAACAAATTAATGCATTTTCTAGCCCCTAATAATCTTAGATTCTGACTGTTAGATAATACTTCTATGTATTTGCAATATTTTTTTTAAAAAAATCATATAGCATAATAGAGAAATTAATGTTGAAGTCAGTCAAAAAGACCTGGGTTTTAAACCTGCCTCCATCATGTATAGAGTTTGTGACTCTGGGAAAGTCACTTGACCCCTCAGTACCTCCAAGTAATTTTCTAGGGCTATATAAGTAGCAGTATAGGGGATCATTTGCACTGGAAACACTTGACGAGGTGTTACTACACCAGAGGGGTCAAACTCTCTCCTGCAGGGCACCTCTAACCAGAATAAAATGTCACTGGGAAATATTTAACAAAATAAATAAAAATGCAATACAACATAGATAATGTTAATTTGTGATTTTCTAAGTCAATATGCATCCCTCTGGATCTGTTTCTATTTGAGTTTGATGCCATTGACCCACAACACTGAAATAATTGATCTAAACGACAACAGAAGTTCTAGGGGAAAAAGTTTAAACCCTTCACAGTCTTATTAGGCTAGTCAGTGCTTCTCTGATATATAGTAATTAATGTTTTCATATATTAACAGTTCACATTTCTGTAAAACCTATAAATTATTTTCTCACCCGTTTATCTATTTCATGAGCTAAGATTTAGAGCTAAAAGAGGTCTCATGGATCATCTCTCCCCTCCTTTCGTAAAGAAAGAAACAGATCCAGAAAGAGGTAAAATCGTTTTCCCAAGATTACTCAGGTAGTAAGGAGAGTCAAGGTTTGTACCAAGTCCTCAGACATCAAATACTGAGATCATTCTACTATACCATACTACCTCATTTGTTAATGCATTATCTTGCCATCAGTTAAGATCCTTAGTGGTATAAAAATTTAAGGTATTGTTTCTTGTGTTTAAAATCATAATCATTTATCATGAACCAGGGTGTGCATGCTCTTCAAAGTTAATGAAAACCTCATTCTAAAGACCTCCTTTATTCTGAAATAAATGACATAAATTTGATTACACGTAATAAGAATTAAAAATTTAATTGGGCAGGAGTTTAATTTTGCATATTTTTTCCACAGTTCTCTGTTAGAAAGATGTGTTCATTTGTCTAGGATAGCTTTGTTTTATCTAGACTATTTAAAAATAATCTATAGAGATGGAGATTTTATAACCAGTTCTTTGATCTCTGAGAATTCACTGTACAAAAGGTTTTATTTAGAAGTTTGTAGTTGCAGTTATAATAGTATATTGAGAGCTTTTCTAAAAGGAGGATCTTTTTCTTACTTTTTTTCTGGATAATACAGGCAGAATTGTGTAAGACTCTGACTCTGATTGATGTGATAGGGAGTTAGAGTTAGACATTCATGGTAGCCAGAAAATTTTATCCTAATAGGTAGACTCAGTAAATTCATTTTTCCCCAGTGAATTAGGGGGATATTAAACCATAAACCTAACTTAAATATGATCAAAATCTGGAAAACAATGATTTGGAGGAAGGAATGCATGTGTATTTCAGGACAAGGAATTACAGTTTTTCAGTTTTAAATTTAGTGTGATCTGTCTACATATGGCTATAGGATTAGCCATTTCGATTGAAGTCAATTTATTCAAATAAATAGTTTGCTTTCTTCCTTATTGAAATGACAGGTAGCTAGGAGTATTTATTTATTTTAAATTTATGGCCCCTAGCAAAGTGTCTTTTTCCATAGTAGGTACTAAATAAATATTGAATGAATGAATGAATGAATGAATGAATGAATTGACCCCATTGTTTTATAGCAAGCTATTGTGAAGTTGGCTTGGGACAACATTAAAAAGTTCCTTAATTTATTTCCTACTCTCATCTTCAATTTAGAATGACTTCAGGATATTTTTCAACTATATCACAGTGTCCTGACCTGATTCCAATCATCTGGTAGATTATAGGCTAGGATCTGCCAATATTCCACCTCCTCTACCCCCTCACATACCACCCCCAATCCCACCTCCTGCTTTCCCGTAGCTTGGTATTTCAAGTAGTGTGCTCCAATGGGGATGGCATGATGGGAATCAGGGTTTGGTGGCAGTTTTTGGCAGCTCACCAGAATCATCATTTTTTTCTCACAGATTTTTGTCAACCATCTTAGCTTCCCTACTTTTGTTTAATCATAGGGTTTTACTAAAATAGAGTAACTTCTTGACACAAAAGGCTTGGGACCCTCTACATTAATATAATGCAGTCTCCTAATGCTATTGTTTATGTATTTGAAATTAACAAAAAATATTTTTTAAAAATAGTTTATTCAGATATTTCACTAATTCAGACAGGGTTTCCCAGTTTTCCTGTTTAACTGTCAAACATTTTAGAATTCCCTGGAGTCACTGGGTACAATGACAAGGGTACACTTGGTACAGACTTCCACCAGGCTCGGCATTGAAATAAAGGAGAGAAATTTGTAAACGCTATACTTCACTGTTGTTTTCCCAGAGTGGCTGTTGATGCAGGGCCAGAAATGAAGGTGGAGGATGTGAACGCAAAGGCCAAGCTACATGCTGTGCTTTATGAAAGGAAACTTCTATCCCTCGAGGTGCGAAAACGCAGAAGACGGAATGGCAGATTGAGGGCACTAAGGCCAAAGTACCCAGGTACAAATATACTGTTGGCCTTAACTAAACTCAGTTAACCAGATCTCTTGATAGAATAAGTTAGCTAGCCTTTTAGTTAGTCCTTTTGAGCTGTTCTTACAATTACTTAATCTTTTGTGAAGCCATAGAACTTAATTTCAAGAGGATTCTTAGAGTTTTCTTTTAAAACCTTTCCTTCCATAGTATTTATAGTAAGAGAAATAGTACATGTATATTTAAGCTGTTATTATAACTTTAGCATTACATAAATACATGGTACTTATGAAATAATCAAGTTTTTATAAGTTGAATGTAGCCCTTAAGAGTTACTGATTTAATTAGTTCATGATTAGGTAATGAGCTTTTTTGCTGCTTTGCTCTTAGAAGGACAAAAGTATTTCATTCCTCTGCACATGGAATAAAGGGACATTCCCCTGTACCCCAAATTCTACATACAGTGTTTGGCTTCCTAGGTCCCTGACAGTTTAGTTTTCTCAGTTCTATTTTCAAATTTCCTTGATGCAGAAAATTTGTTATAGGAAAAATGAAGTAATGATTTATACCAACTGGCACTGTATTCTCTTTGGAAGCTACATTTGCCAAGTTTGTTTTTTAAGGGTAGAGCTGAGCAGTGATTCTCTTTGCAAACATAAGTCTCAGAAATGTTTTTTTTTCCCCCTTACATAAAGCCATGAAAAACAATGATAATCTGCCTTCTACCCTACAAGAGTAAATAAAGTGGTTTAAGATATGTTCTGTATTAAGTACAATGAATTTGTCCTTTGGCATTATGGCAAGATAGTAGGTAAAATATAATGAAGAGACCAGAAATACACATTTTGCATAGACATACCTATATACTATTACTTTTCTGTCTTGTCTCTGGCCCAATATAAATGTTTGTATATAATACTGGAAAGGTGAGAGAGTAAAACACTTAATTTTTTTCAGCAGCATTAGTGGTTCTTCTTTTTTAGTGCTTCTGCAGCCAACTGAAATATCCATTAAAACTGAGACGGAGAGTGAAGAGGAAGAAGAGGATCAAATAGAACATGAAGACGAAGAGCAGGAAGCATCCCAAGAGGAGTCTGCAGGTTCTCTTGAAGAAAATCAAACCAAATATATGCCTTCACTGACTGCGTTGCTGGATACTCCACCCAAAGAGAGTCCCTTGAAAACTTCTGAATGGAATGGAGAAACTACTCCTTGCCCCAAGCCTGAAATTCAGCAGCCAGAACCCACATTTAACTTGATGCAGATTCTGCAAGAAAATGGAAATCTCAGGTGAGCCTCCTTTTTAAAAAAAGAACTTGTAACCCAATTGAGTAATGAGTAGGGCAGTTGAGTGGTCTGCTATGCAAATAAATGATTTCCCTTTAAATAGAGGGTGAGCTCTTTCTTGATATTACTTTCATTAAGTGAGCTTCTTCCACTATCATATGCATTATTGTAAATCATTGTAGATTTAAATTTCCTTTTTTTTTCTTCTGGCACACAGTGGTATACCTCACCCCATTAGAAATAGTCTCAGAATGAAACATTTCAGAAGTTTTCTTTTTTTTCTTTTTCTTTTCTTTCTTTCTTTTTTTTTGGGGGGGGGGTGAGGCAATCAGGGTTAAGTGATTTGCCCAGGGTCACACAACTAGTCTAAGTGTTATGTGTCTGAGGCTGGATTTGAACTCGGGTCCTGGCCAGTGCTCTATCCACTGCACCACCTAGCTGCCCCAGAGGTTTTCTTTTTTAAAGAAAAGTGTTGATACCTGTTTTGTCTTTACATCAGCTCCATATCTGTATATAACACTCACCCCTAATCTACTCAGTACACCATCTCTTGTAACATATTAAAAAAGAAAAGGGGAAAAATGGCTAAAACAGCAAAATTAACCAACTAAGCCATATGCTTAGTTCCACACCCTTAGGCCTCTTCTTCCAAAAAGGAAAGGAGATGCATTTTCTTTCTTTCTTTTTTTTTTCAAATAAATTTTTATTCATGTCTTTTGTTTTTTACATCATTATATTTTTCTCCAGTATCCCTCTCCCTCCCCTTCCCAGAGAGCCAATCCTGTATGACAAATAGTATATTTTAAAGACAAAAAAGAAAAAGAAGAGGAAAACTCAGCACAATCAGTCTTTGCATTAAAAAAGTCAGAAAACATGTAATTGTGGGCTTTACATTTCCATGAAGAAAATGTCCTGTCATAGGGAGATGCATTTTCTTATCTCTTCTCTGAGGCAAAAAGTGTTCATCTTAATTACATAGAGTTCAGTTTAATTTTTGTCTTCATGCCATTTAATCTTCATTGTAATTGTATATATTGTTTACCTCCTCCTTAGTTCATGCTGTATCAGTTCATATAAATCTTCCCTATGTTTCTCTAAATTATTGATGTTCGCTATTTCTTATGGCATGACATTCAGATACTACAGTTTGTTTAGTGTTCTCCAAAGTAGATAGATATTAACTTTGTTTCCAGTTATTTGCTCTATGAATTTTTTAGTATATATGTAACCTTTCTTTCTGTCTTTAGCCTCCTTAAGATAATCATTTCTGGATCAAACAGTATGGTCATTTTAGAAACTCTTTTAGCACAATTTCAAATTGTTCTTCAGAATGGATGGACCAATTCACAGTTCCACAAACAGTGTATTTGTGTGCCTGTCTTATCTACAGCCACTCTTAGATTGTATATTTCTATCCTTTGTCAACTTTTCCAATTTGTAAGATGAAACATCAGAGTTGTTTTGGTTCACGTTTTTCTCATTATTTGAAATAATCTATTCTAAAGTTATTAATAGTTTTCAACTTGGAAGAGTCATGTTACTCGCTTGAGTTCTTTTCAGATCAGTTTATTCATCTATTTTGACCACTTATCGATTGGGGATAATGACTCCTGGTCTTATATACTTTTGTTATAATTCCCTATATATCTTGGATATCAGATATAATTGGATACCAGAGATAATTTAATTTAACAATTTTCCCCTAATTAATAGCTTCCCTTCACATCCCAGCTGCATTCATTCATTCATTTATTTGTTTGGCAATTACTTTTATTTCTTGTTTGATTAAGAATTCTCCTCCCTACTCATAAGTATGAAATTTGGTTACATTGTGACTTTTAATATTCAGATCACATCTGTTTTGAGCTTACTGTGAGATATTGTCAAATTAAACCTAATTTCTGCCATGGTACTTTACAATTTTCCCAGCAGTTTTTGTCAAATATCTAGAATATTCTTAGTAAAAGTTATAAAAATAGTAAAGTCCATTCTTATTCATGATTTTGAAAAAAACAGCCTCATCCAAAGTAGTATCTTTCCAAGTTGAAATAGTTTTTATTTGAATGAATTAGTGAGATTGGAGGATTCTGCTACCATCTAAATATGGAAATGATGTAGAGGGAACATGAAAAATGACCATGTTCTCAGTTCAGCTCATCTCAAGTAAATCTGTTGACTAAAATAGAAGATTTTTCTATTCTTTACATAGTTTGACTTAGTTTTCCTTATTTGTTGTGTAGATAAAGTTTAAAAGGGGAGAAATTAGAGGAAAAGACCTGGTATATAGTTTCTTTATAGTAATGGGTGAGCCTTGATATTTTCCTTGTTGAGAAACATTACAAAATAGTATATATATACATTTTTTAAATCATGCAAGATAGATTTCCACATTGGCCATGTTACTAAAAATAAAAAAAAATTAGAAAAATAAAGGAAATGAAAAAATGTTTTAATTTACATTCAGAGTTCATCAGTTCTCTCTCTCTGTAGGCAGATAGCATTTTTCATCATGAGTCCTTTGGAATTGTCATGGATCATTGTATTGATCAGAGCAGCTAAGTCTTTCACAGTTGATCATTATTACAATATTGCTGTTACTATGTACAATGTTCTCCTACTAACTTCACTTTTCTTTGGTTCATGTAAGTCTTGGGTTTTTTCTGAAACCATGGCCTTCATCATTTCTTAGAACACAATAGTGTTTCATGACATTTATACACCATAACTTTTTCAGCCGTTCCTTAACTGATGGACATCCCTTCAGTTTCTAATTCTTTGCCACAACAAAAATATCTGTATACATATTGTTGTGAATATGGGTCTTTTTCTTTTTTCTTTGATCACTTTGGGGTACAGATCTAGTAGTAGTATTGCTGTGTTGAAAGGTATGCACAGTTTTATAGCCCTTTGGGCATAGTTCCAAATTGTTTTATAGAATGATTTGTCCAGTTCACAGGAATGATTTGTCCAGTTCACAGCTCTACCAACAGTGCATTAGTGTTCCTGTTTTTCCACATCCCCTCCAGCAGTTATCATTTTCTTTTTCCATTATGTTAGCCAATTTGATGGATCAGAGGTGGTACCTTAGAGTTGTTTTAATTTGCATTTCTTTAATTATTCGTTGTTTAGAGTACTTTTTCATATGACTATAGATATCTTTTGATTTCTTCTTCTGAAAGCTGCCTGTTCATATTCTTTGGCCACTTATCAATTGTGGAGTGGCTCTTATTTTTATAAATTTGGCTTGTTTCCCTCAATATTTGAGAAATGGGAATTCTCCCCTGCCAGTTTCCTGCTTTCCTTCTAATTTTGGCTGCATTGATTTTGTTTGTGCAAAACATTTTTAATTTAATGTAGTCAAAATTGTCTATTTTACTTCTCATGATCCTCTTTATCTCTTGTTTGGTCATAAACTTTTCCCTTATTCGTTAATCTGACAGGTAATTTTTTTCCCATGCTCCCCTAATTTGCTTATGATATCACCCTTTATGTCAAATCATGTACCCATTTTGAGCTTATCTTTGTAAACGATGTGAGATGTGGGATTTTATCTAGTTTCTGCCAGATTGCTTTCTAATTTTCCAAGCAGTTTTTGTCCAGTACTTGCAACAGTAGCTTAAATCATGGGATTTAGTCATTTACTTCTGCATATTATCTATTCCATTGATCAACAATTCTATTTCTATTTCTTATGCAGTACCAGATTGTTTTGATGACTATCACTTTGTAGTTTAGTTTGAGATCTGGTAACTACCTTTATTTACTTTTTTTTTTCATTGATTCCTTTGATACTTTTGATCTTTTGTTCCTACAGATGAATTTTCTTATTACTTTTATTAAGTCTATAAAATAATCCTTTGGTAGTTTGATTGGTATGGCACTGAATAAGTAAATTAGTTATTATATTGGATCTGCCTACCCATTAGCAATTAATATTTCTCCAATTATTTAGATCTAACTTTGTTTGTAAAATGTTTTATAATTAATTGTGTTCATATAGTTCCTGTGGGTATCTTGGCAGGTAGATTCCCAAGTATTTCATATTGTCTGCAGTTATTTTAAATGGAATTCCCTCTGTCTTCCTGTTGGGTTTGGTTGGCAATATATAGAAATGCTGATGATTTATGTTAGTTTATTTTATGTCTTTCAACTTTGCTACAGTTGGTAATTGTTTCAATTAGTTTTTTAGTTGATTCTCTAGGGTTTTCTAAGAATACCATCATATCATTTGCAAAAAGTTATAGTTTATTTCCTTGTTGCCTGTTCTTATTCCTTCAGTTTCTTTTTCTTGTCAGCGTCATCACTAGCATTTTTAAAACAATATTGAATAATAATGATGATAATGGACATCCTTTCTTCATCCCTGATCTTTTTGAAAGGTCTTCTGGTTTATTCCCATTATAGATAATATATTTTCTTGGTTTTAGGTAAATAATACATATCATTTAAAAAAAAGTTTCATTTATTCCTATGTTTTGTAGTGGTTTTTAATAATAATGGGTATTATATTTTGTCAAAAGCTTTCTCTTCATCTGTGGATATAATCATATGATTTTTGTTGTTGTTGTTATTGACGTGGTCAGTTATACTTATAGTTTTCCTAATATTGAAGCAGACCTACATTCCTGGTATAAATCCCACTTGGTCTTAGTATCTGATCTTTGCTGTAGTCTCCTTGCTTGTATTTTGTTTAAAATTTTTGTATCAATATTACTTAGGGAAAGTGGTCTGTAGTTTTCTTTCTCAGTTTTAGTTCTCCCTGGTTTAAATATTAAAACCATATTTTTGTCATAGAAAGAATTTGATAGGACTTCTTTATTTTTTCAAATAGGTTATGTACTATTGGAATGAATTGTTTTTTAAATGTTTGGTAGAATTTGCTTATTCATCTCCTTAACTTCTTTTGTATTTATTTTGTGGTTAGATTTATTTAGGTCTGAGATGGGTAAATTGAAATCCCCTACTAGTATTGTTTTACTATATATTTCTTCCTGTAATTTATTTAACTTTTCCTTTAAGATTTTGGGTGCTGTGCTGTTTACTTGCATTTATGTTCAGCAATTGGTATTAATTCATCATATATGGTACCTTTTAGCAAAGTATAGTTTCTCTGATTATTTCTTTTAATTAGGTCCATTTTTGTCTTGCTTGTCTAAGATCATGATTGCTTCTCCTGACTTCTTTTTTACTTCAACTGAAGTGTAATAAATTCTGATCCAGCACCTCATTTTAAGTCTGTGTGTGTCTTCTTTTTCAAGTGTGTTTCTTGTAAACAACATACTGTTGGATTCTGGTTTCTAATCCATTTTGATGTCTTCTGTTTTATAGGTGAGTTCATCCTAGTCACACATTCACAATTATAATTGCTAACTGTGTATAATGTGCTAACTGCCTATCCATCCTATTCTCTTCTACTTATCCTTGACTTTTTTTATCCTATGTTCTCCTCAAGTCTATTTGTCTTCTGACCACTGCCTCCCTTAATCTACTTTCTGTCTTATCACCCTCCCTCCTTTCTTTGAGCCCCTTCCTCTCCTGCTTCCCTGATGGATAAGATGGATTTCTTTACCCAACTGATTGTGTGTGTGTGTGTGTGTGTGTGTGTATTTTTTTTTCCCCTTTGAACCAGTTCAAATGAGAGTAAGATTCAAATGTTGCATGCTTCCACCCATTTTCTACTTCATTACAAAATCTCTTTCTTGTGTGCCTCTTTTTTGTAAAGTGATAGTCCCTATTCTTCCTCTCCCTTCCTCATTCTCCCAGTATATCCCTCTTTCTCAGCCTTTCATTTTTCTTTTGAGATCATCCCAACAAAACAGACTCATACCAATGTCCTCTGTCTAAGTAAACTGCTTCCAACAGCCCTATTGATGATAAAGTTCTTGAAGGTTATATGTATCTTCCAATTTGGACGTGTAAACGATTTAATCGTAATAAGTTTTTCATGATTTCTCATTCATATTTACCTTTTTTATGCCTCTCTTGAATCTCATGTTTCAATGTCAGATTTTCTTTTTAGCTCTACTCTTTTCATCAGGAATGCCTGGAAGTCTTTGGTTTCATTAAATGTCCATTTTTTCCCCTGTAGAATTGTACTCAGTGAGATTGAATATTCTTGGTTGTAATCCTAGCTCCTTTGCCTTCTAGAATATCATATTCCAAGCCTTCTACTTCTTTATAGTGATAACTGCTAAATCTTCTTTGAGCCTGACTGATGCTCCATAGTTTCATTTTCTTTTTTTGTGTGTGAGGCAATCAGGGTTAATCAGGTCCTCATGACTCTAGGGCTGGTGCTCTATCCACTGCACACCTAGCTGTTACATTCCGTAGCTTCTGAATTCTTTTTTTTTCTGACTACTTGCAGTATTTTCTCCTTAACCTGGGAGCTCTGCAATTTGGGTATGATATTCTTCAGATGGGGATCTCTTTTAGAAGGTGATGGGTGGATTCTTTTCTTTTTACTTCTTTCTGCTTCTGGTTCTGTGATAATTAGGCTATCATCCTTTATTTTATTGTTTCCTGATGTCTCATGGAGTCATTAGCTTCCACTTGAATAAATTTTAATTTTTAAGGAAATATTTTCTTTAGTCAGGTTTTATACCTCTTTTGCCTTTTGGCCAATTCTGATTTTTAAGGAGTTAAATTTCAATAAATTTTTTTTGCCTCTTTTACCAAGCTGTTAATTCCCCTTTCATGATCTGAATTTCTCCACCTGAATCTCCTACTCATTATTTAGTTCTTATTCAGATTTTTAGTTCTTTCCACACAAGCCCTTCCTCCTGACTAACCCTGGAGAAACAATAACTAGAAAGCATTCGATGATTGAATGTTCAAGGATTGTAAACAAAGTTTGTGTTGGGCCCTAATCTGTTGCTGATGTAATTTTGGCTACAGTGTCAGAAGGCCAGTCAGTTGAAGTAACCAAAATCACGGCTGAGATGAAACAGACCTGCTTTAATCAGCAATTCCAGTGAAAACTATCAGTCTTTTTTTGTTACCTCTCTTTTATAGTCTGATAGTTTGATTGAATCTCTAGCCACCATTCTCACAGATTGAACAGATGAGAACAGAGTTGCTAAGAGATATTTCTATCTGGCATTCTCTTTCAGCAGAAAAATTTGCCATCGTGATTCTGTCATGTCCTTTCTTCTTATTTGTATCCACTTTCTTCGGACTTCACATATTCTCTGGGCTTTAGCCATGATTCTCTTTAGTTGGGAGAAGTAAGGCCTAAAACTTGGTCTCCAAAGCCCCTTTGTAGAATTTATCTGTTACCTTTCCTACTTTGGATATCTTTGTACAGTAGAAAAGTAGCTTAATATTTGCAGGAACCATTTTTTTTTTAAATTAGATAAGTAAGATCTTAACCACTTGCAATACAGAAGCTATTCCTCATCATACAAGGGCTTTAGGAAAATTCAGGGGGGTTTGCAATGGGTTAGAAGTCATGGTGTGTATTTTCTTTTCCTCCTGCTAGTAATAAGGAAACAAAATAGGATTTCTTTTCTCCTCTGATTCTGTTAACAGAGAGACTAGACTACTTAGAAAGAATGTTTATTCAGGTAAAGGGTATGGAATACTTAAGAACCCTTGCCCATCATAATAGGAGGCGGCACAAAATCAGAACAACGCTCTTTATGTGAGTAGTAGAACTAATATTCTGCATATCTAACTTTAATTTAATTTTGATTTCTATAGCAAAGTCCAGGCTCGAGTAGCCTTCTCTGCCTACCTCCAACATGTTCAGACTCGACTGATGAAAGATAGTGGAGGTCAATCCTTTAGTGCTAGTTGGGCTGCCAAAGAGGATGAACAGATGGTAAGTCTCTTTATGTTAGGACTACTCTGGTGGGTAAAACTGTGGCTATAATTGAGTTGAATTTCTTCTGAGATACATAGCAGTGAATTCACTTAATAAGAGGGTTATTTTATGCTACTTTAAACATTTCTGTAAATGTAGAGAAAATCATCTGATGGCACTTACTCAATATGGAGGATAAAATTTGGCCCTTTGAAATGGAAATATCCCATTGCAGACTTTGTAACAACTTTCTTCTTCATAGGAAACATTCCAGAAATTATCCTCCTTTGACTTACCAGTTATTTCTTTAATATTTATAAATTTGTTTAAATATCAGATTGCCTGGCAGTTAACCAAACTTTTGAAAAATTGTCAGACTTTATTACAAACCTTGATTTTTATGTAAAATTCCTCAACAAGTCCTTTCTTGCATCAAGGTGACTTCAGAAAGCATCAAGCTAGTTGATGAGAATAAAATGTCCTGAGAAATCTCTAGTCTCTTTATTTATAGGTATTTCTAACTCAGGACAGAAGGATCTTTAGGTTTGAAAAAGTTTTATTCTCTTTTTAGTTTAGCAATCATTATTCCTCCACCTTCCTAGTTCTTTATACTCAGAAGGCAGGGCCTTATGTTAGACTTAGTATGAATACAATTTGATTATCCTTGAAAATAGCTTATGAGAGTAAAAAAGCCAGAGCAGCACACAGCAGAGAGATAAAACCTTATGTTGTGAATAATCCTTCAGCTGTCGGTGGAAAATGTTAGCCCTGCTTTTTCCAAGTGGAAAATTAAAATTACTTCTTCAAGAGTCAGCTTGTCTGCTGCACAGTGAAAAATAATGTTTTAAAATAACAGATTGAACCACCCTACAGTAAAGTCAGCTGGAGTGGTACTGTGAAATCCAGCCTTCTGACTTAGAGATCACTCCGTTATGCTGGAATAAATTGGCACTAACAGGACAACTGACCGAATATCCAGGAAAAAGGGGAAAAAAAAAACCCCAAACTTTTAAAAAATACCCACTGAAGATTGCGAGTTTGGGATTTCTATTTGATTATCATAGGGTATTTACTCGAGATTTTGGGATCATCTTTCACATGATTTGCTATTCATTGAGAGAGAACAATTTGTTAAAGGTTCTCTGGATTCCTTTTTTTAAAAAAAAACTTTATTGGATTTTAAAAGCAAATTTTTACTGATATATTTTTATTTTTGCATCACCTACATTTCTCATAGTACCCTTCTTCCATGCCCTTCCCAGAAAGCCATCTCTTATAGCAAAGAATATTTTTAAAAAGAGAGAAAAAGTTCAACTGAAGTGAGCGACACATTGAAAAAGTCTGATATATGGGTGGTGGTCTGATACCTTTGCAAAAAAAAAAAAGCAGGAGGAGGTATCTTCTGATATTTCTTCTTTGGATCAACCTTGGTCATTATTTGTAGACTTGTTTGAATAATTTTATTGTTTCTATTTGCGCTTTATTGTCATTATGTGTATGTATATATATATTTTTCTTAAGTATACATTTATATTTTTTCCTCATTCTGCTTATTTTACTTTGCATCAAGTCATGTGTCTTTCCATGTTTCTCTTTATTTGTCATATTCATCATTTCTTACAACACACTAGTATTATCCATTATCCAGGCCTTGTTTACCCATTCTACAGTTTATGAGCATTATTTCTAATTCTTTGTTCCCACTAAAAGTGTTACTATAAATATTTTCCTTGTTTAAAAAATTTTTTTTCACTGACATCTTTGAACCATGTGCCCAACTAGAGAGTCTCTGGGTTAAAGAGTGTGGATATTTTAATCACTTTGATAAAATAATTTCAAATAGTTTTGCAGAATGGTTAAACCCATTCATACCTCAGCCAACAATTCATTACTGAGCCCATTCTTCCACAACCCCTCCAAGATAGATTATTCTCATGTTTTGTCACCTTGCCAACTTGCTGGTTATGTGACAAAAGCTCAGAATTATTTTCATTTGCTTTCCTCTTATTTTTGGTGATTAGAGTTTGGTTTTGTTTTTTTTTGTCATCAGAGGTTGTAAACCTGGCATCCATGAACTTCCAAAAAAGTAGCTATTTCAGTCATCATCATTGTACTCCTATGTGTTTATTTTATAAATTTAAAAACATTATTCTGAGGTATCCATAGATTTGACCAGATTGTGCCAGAGTGGTTCATGACACAAAAAAAGTTAAGAACCTCAGTTTTATGGTTTATATTTATTTTTAGAATTGCTTGTTTATGTCATTTGACCACTTACTGGGAAATCACTTTTGATTTTACAAATTTTTTTTTTATTTAAAATTTTTATTTTTCAGTTCCAAATTCTCTTTCTCTAGCTCCCTACCCATTGAGAAGGCAAGCAGTATAATACCACATTATACATGTTAAGTCATAGTTTTACATATTTCTAATAATTGTCTATATATCTTAGTTATCAGAATTTTTTTCAGAGGTTTATAATACAAAACTTCATTTTCTTCAGTTTTTTCCGTGTTATCCTAGGTGTTCTAGCAAAAGCTTTTGAATTTCATGTAGTTGAAATTACTTTATCTTTTGGAGTTGCATTTTATTGCTTGTTTCATTAAGAATTCACTACCTTCCCATAGCTATGAAAAGTATATTATCTGATTCTCTTTTAATTTTTGTGTTATTTTTAATATTCAGGTCATGTGTCCATTTTGAATTTATCATGGTATATAGTACAAATGTTGATCTAAAACTTGTTAGTGCCATATTGCTACTAGTTTTCCTAGAAATTCTTTTAAGATAGGGAGTTCTTTCCCAGATGATGAATGTTTTCAGTTTTTGAACACCAGATTATTGAGTTCAGTTATTTCTAATTCTTTCTTGTCTAGTCTGTTCCATTGAGCTACTTTTCTATTTTTAACTGATACCAAGTGGTTTTGATGGTTGTGCTATATAATATAGTTTTCAATAGTATGTAATAAAGTACTTTCTTTGCTACCATTTTTCTTTGTTTCCCTTTGCATTCAGATCTTTTGTTTTTTTCAAATGGATTTTGTCTAGGTGTAAAGTATGTGTTTGGTTTGTATGTTACCAAATCTGTAAATTAACTCTGGCAATATTGATATTTTTATTATTTTGGCATGGCACAACCATGAGCACTGATTATTTCTACAGTTATTCAGATTGTCCTTTATTAAAGAACATTTTGTGATTATATGTATACAGATATTGAATATCTTTTGCTAGATTGTCTCCTGTATATTTTTTGCATTAAACAGTTATTTTGAATAGGACTTATCTTTCTATTATTTACTCTTGGATTTTGATATTTCAATGTATATATTTCAGTGGATTTATTTTGTAGGTTTCAAATTTATTGAAGCTATCATTTCAAGTAGTTTCTTTGTTGATTCCCCAGTGTATTTTAAGTGATCATGTGATCAGTAAATAAGAATAATTTTGTCGTCTCCTTGCCTTTCTTTATGTATTTAATTTCTTTCTCTTGTCTTATTGCTATGGCAGACTTTTCTAGGCCTGTATCAAGTAGCAGTAGGCAAAGTATACATTCTTTATTTATTAGAAAGTTGCTACTATTTCCCCATTCCATATAATACTAGCTTTTGCTTTGGTAGATACTTTTTATCATATTAAAATAATTTCCATATGTCTTTACTTAGAAAGATTTTTTTTTAAATTAGTATTTTTATTTTAAAAATGTTTGATGTAAGTTCTGCCCAACAAACGCATTACTGGAATTTTGACCTTAGACGAGTCATTTAGCATCTCAGTGGTCAAGGTAACCACTTGAGGTAGTTTGCACATCTAGAATTTCTGTTTACCGATGGAATCACTTGTTCAGACCCTATCTCCTTTATTGATATAATCATGTGATTTGGTGTATTTTTAATCTGATTCATTATGTTGAATGTTGTCCAGATATTGAACTATCCCTGCATTCTTGATATAACTACAATTAAAAGTTGCCTGGATTTGACTTAAAATTTTTTAGTCAATATTCATTAATGATATTGAGGTATAATTCTCTTTCTTTGCTTTGTCCTTTCTTGGTGTAGGTATCAGGATGATATTTGTCTCATAAAAGGAAATTGATAGAATGTTTTCTTCCTCAGTTTTTGAGAATAATTACTGGAGTAGAAGTATTTGTTTTTCTTCAAAATTTCGATAGAATCATCCTGTAAATCCATCTGGACCAGGTTTTGTTTTTGTGTTTTCTCCTTTTGGTAGTTGCTTTACATTAAAATTCAATTCACTTTTCTGATCTCTGATTGGTGTTCTATTAACTTGGGTGTTTTTTATTTTTGTAGATAATTTTCTGTTCCTTTCAATTTCTCAGTTATAGTCACATAATTTCTATTTCTTCTGGGCTTGTTGGAATTTCAACTTGTTTTTTATTTTCTTAATCTGATTTTCTTCTCTTTTTAAATCAGGTTTGGGTAAAGCTTTATCAATTTTGGAAGGCTTTTCAAAGCTTTTAGTTTTATTGATTGGTTCTATAATCTTTTTAGTTTCATATATATATATAATATACACTTTTTTTTCTTTCAAGGTTTTCTCTTTTGTGCTTATTTTGGATTTGATCATTTGTTGGTTTTCTAATTTTAAATTTCACATTTAGTTCATTAATTTTCCTTTTTTGTTTAGTTAATGTATGCTTTGGAGATATAGTTGTCCTCTGAGTATTGCTTTAACTGACTCTCATAAATTTTGGCATGTTCTCTCATCTTTATCATTGTCTTTCACTTAGTTATTAATTATTTTTGTTATTTGTTCTTTGATGCACTTGTTATTTAGGATTTAATTATTGAGTCTTAATTCAGAACTTTGTCTTGTTCCTGTGACCCTAGATTGATTACTGCTTTTTTATCAAGATATCAAGGTGTGTTTGATATTTCTTTTTTATTTACATTTATTTGTAATATCTCTGTATTCCATTCTGTAAGTTTCATGTGGTGCAGAAAAATATGTATATTCTTTAGTGGTTCCTTTCAGAAGATGCCTTAACTTTTTTA